CGGGTCTGCGGCGGCCCTGGCTGGAGCGCGCAGGACCCCGCGCGGCCCCGGCCTGAAGTCCAGGGGCGCCGGGAGGAAGTCGTGGGAAAGGAGCGGCCAGAGGGGCCCCGGGCGGGAGGGCTGGGCTCGGGCCGGGGCGTAGCTCTCGGAACCCACACTCAGGAAGCCAAGTTGGAGCTACGGCCTGGAGGGTTAGACCCGCGGTGAATGAGCGCCGTCAGGCCGAAAGCTGGAGGTGCACCCCCAGCAGAACCCCGGTCCGGGAGAGGGCGCACGGAAGGCTGACGCCCAGGAAGTCTGGGCTACACTTGAATGCGCCCGGGATCCCGGTCAGGGGCCTCGGTGCGCGCTGACGCTTGGAGAGCTGCTTTTATTCTCTCAACCATGAGATCACCCCGGCTGAGAGCCCCGAAGTTATTCGCGTGGGGAAATAGGAGAGGACTCTCAGAACTGCGCTCTCTGAAGTGGAAATTTGGGGACCCCAGTGACTCCCGGGACTGAAGCCAGAGACTCTCGGGCCTTGTGAACTAAGTGCAGGAACTCAAAGACATCTGTCGAGTTCATGAAGGAATGAATGAGCGCGCATTAGAATGTAAGGGGGGTGGGGGGAGGATTACATTACAGTGTGTTGTGGAATCTTATAATACAGAAAGATCTGAAATCGGATACCCAATAAGTAGGAGAGAGAACTTTGTTTCCAAAGCTGTGCACCAGCAAAAAGTGGCACAAAACGGGAATGCTCTGGAGGTTTGCGTCGTCAGTAAGCCTCGGTGGGACGCCAAGAAAACACTGGGATATTGGGGAGCTCTGGGGTTTTTTCTCCCCCAGCAGACAGATCTGGGGCATCTGCTCACAAGTCCTCTCAGCTGCTTTCAGGACTTACCCCAGGTGCTCTACGGCCTCCCCTTCCAGGCCTCTAGCCTGGTGTCTAAGGCCTATGTTTGTTTTTAACAGCAGGAAACCCCCGTGTGAGAAAGAAGTTATCAGCAAACCCTCAAGGGTGGGAAGTTACAGAGCCCTGTGAGGTGAGGTGGAATCCACAAAATCGGCCCAGCAGTGGCAGGGGTCCCTGCCTAGCAGGAGAGAATGGCCTTCCACCAGCCAGAGGACTGCTGCTGGACTCGTGTCCTCTCCAAGCTGTTTGGACCTTAAAGGAGAATCCCTGAGCTCTAACGAATTTAACAGCGTGGTTCTTGTTGGTGGCTGGACTCCGACCGCTGTAGTCTTTAGGTTTCTCTCCCTTCTTTCTAGTCACTATCAGCACACACACACACACACACACACACACACACACACCAGTTATTATTTTCATTCCAGGTCGCCTAAGTGCCGCCCTCTGATTTAGACTTCACAGTGACCCTGAAGCTAAATGTCCCTTTGTCTCCCACTTACAGCAAAGCACCTGCAGCACATAGAAGTTACAGTACTTCTCAGGATTTCAAGAAACAGAGCTGGGGTATGAACCAAGAACTCAGCCCACATGCTTGCCACTACACCCAGCTGCGGCTATGGAAGGCAAGATGATGTCATGATGAGGCTCTTGACCAAACAAAAGTCCCTTACGAGGGTGCGCTGTTGGACGCTACACGAAATGTTTGCTTGCCTGCAAAGGGGGCTAGAAGTAGCTTTCCTCTCCAGCCTCATGGTTGTGGGACTCTAATGTGAAAGGCTTTGCCCACAGGCAAGTACCGCCCAGGGAAAAGAGCAGCACCTACCTCAGGGCTCACCAGCGCCCTAGACAGTGGTGCCATGAAGGAGCCCATGGGGTTCAGGGTAGCCCCACTTTGGCAGAATTCCCGTACTTGGTTCTGGGGCTGACTAAATGAGAGATGAAAGTCCCTGACCTCAAAGAGTTCACAGCCTAGAGGCTAGCCAGGGCGGGAGGGAGGTACCTGGGAGAAAGGCCCCACAGTCCTTACCTCCTTCATATTAACCTGAACTTCATTCTCAGTCAGTCAGTCAGTCAGCACAGCTGAGCCATGTTGTCCCAGGCTTCCCTCACTGCTCACAGTGACAGGGACAGCTGTGTGCACACATGGGAGTCCAGCAAGGGCCATGTCTGGGCTAGGTGTCTCCCATGGCATTCGTTTCTCCATGACCAGAGTTGAGGGAACAGACCCAGTTCCACAAAGGAATGAGGAGGGGGTGAGGGATGGATTGCTAAAAGGCCCCGAGTGCTCCCTTCACTTTGGGAGGACAATGGGTGGGTGGCTCCAGGTGGCTAAGAACGCTGTTCTGGGGTCTGATCTCCTGGGGCCCAGCCAGCCTGTTTTTGCAGAGGTTGTCCTTGAAAGGAAACATTAGCCCAGTTAATTTTTCATCACAGTAAGTACAAAGTTCAGAACACGGGGTGGGGGGCAGAGGCAGCGGCTGTGTTTCCCTGGAAATAGTCCTGTCAGAGAGGCTCTTTGCATTCCCATGTATTTGGAGCGGCTCCCAGGTGGAATACTGGAAAGAAATAAACACCTGACTTCAATTATTATTTTTCCATTCGCTAAAGGGTGTTTAATCAACAAGTGGTGGATCTAGAAAGGCATCAAAGTTTTCTGCCTTCATCTTTATAGGAAGTGACGTGGGTGAAGGCAGGCGACCTCCAGCATGGAGATGAGGCAGGGCTGGCGCTCACCTCAGAGAGGCTCTGTCTCCAGGGCCTACGAAGCCCTCTAACATGCAAGCTCGCCACAGCACCAGACCCAGCCGGCTAAGCATCTAGGTCCACCACTTCTGGTTGCATGACTAGGCAAATGGCTTACCTCTCTGTATCAGTTTCTTCATCTAGACAGTGAGAAGAAGAAGAATGCCGGCCTCACAGGAGTACGCCAGAGATGCCATACGCTGCACAGAGCGCTAGGCACAAGCACACAATAGGTCTCCACTGATATATTCACCATAGACTACTGTGCAAAGGTTCGAAGTAGGGGGTTGTGTGTGCACTGGGAAAATGGATGGCCTTAGAAGAGTTCCAGGGCTCTCCCTGGTGGCGCAACGGGTTAAAGCACCACATTATGAAGCTCTCCAAAGCCACTACTGCACCAGTTCAATCCCCAGCCAGGGAGCTGACCCACATGGCATGGCAGACCTCTTCTGACCCACCTGCTGCTCCCCTCAGCAGTGTATTTCTGTCAGTCTGCCTGTTCTGCTCCCCACTCTGTCTCTGGTGAATCTTCTCACTCACCACTCCTCTGGCCTGTACCCCAGTTCTGTAAGCATAAATAAATCTTAAAAAAAAAAAAAAGAGTTCCAAGTAAAAGTGTTAACACATAGAATGAAATAAGTAACATAATGCTACTTATGTAAAAAAAAATACATATACGCAAAATAACTGTATCCATGTGGAAAGAAGTCAAGTGAACAAAGACATACATATTGAACCACTTTACACCCGTGAGGATGGCTGTTATCCAAAATACAGAAAACTGCAAGTGTTGGAGAAATGTAGAAAAGTCAGAAACCTATGCATTGCTGCTGAGAATGTAAAATAGTACAGCCACTGTGGAAACAGTATAGTAATTCCTTAAAAAATAGAACACCGAACTAAGACATGATCAAAAAATTACACTTCTGGGTATATACTCAAAAGAAGCAACAACATGACTTGAACAAACCTTTGTACATCCATGTTTAGTGCAGCATTATTCAGGACAGGCAAAAGGTAGAAGCCATTCTAATGTCTACTGATGGAGGGGTGGATTTTTAAAATGTGGTTTATCCATACAACCTTAAAAAGGAGATATATAGCAGAGTGGGGGATGGAGAGGGTCCCAGAGTTGGGGGAGGAGCATGAGGGGTGGTGGTGATGGAGCACAGTGCTGGGGTGGTGGGAGAACGATAGGGACCACACTGGAGGGAAGAAACTCCAATACTGTTCAAAAATGAACAAGGACAAAATACAAAATAAAAAAGAACGGAATTCTGACCAGCTAGAAGAGCAGGCTTGAAGACATTACACTAAGTGAAATAAGTCGGGAACAAAGAAAATATACCAACTGGCTCCAGTGATATGACATGCCTAAAATAGTCAAAGTCTTAAAGACAGAAAGTAGTATGGTAGCTGGGAGGTGCTTGAGGGGAGGGAAGAATGGGGAGCTAGTGGTTAATGGTGTTTCAGGTAGAGAAGGTGAAAAAAGTTCTGGAGATAGATGGTGAAGTACAGAGTGACTGTACTTCATGCCACAGAACTAATTGTACACTTAAAAGTTGTTCAAATGGTAAATTTTATGTGGTACCTATTTTATCACAATAAAAATATATATGGGGGAAATGCACATAGAACACAGTAGAGCAGGTGTTTGAGGGTGGGCATAGGGGGATGGGGCTAAGGGGTAGGATAAACATATGAATTCACGGGCCTATAATGAAGAGCTGTGTGCTGAGAAGTATGACTACCTCACTCTCTGCTCCAGATCCAGAGACCTCACATTTAGGGAGCTGAGTCAACACTTTTGTTAAT